GCTCGTGGCCTGTCAAGTTAAGTTCTTAGGGGTGGCAGGGAGGCTTCAGCATTGCTGCCACCCTGGTTGGTAGACTGTGGGAGGTTTGTGTGTGGTCTTACATGGTGAGGCATCCAAGCCCAGGGGGAGTCCGGCTCTAGCGCGGACTCTGGGTGACCCTGGCAACTGACCACGTCGCTGGGCTCTGCTTCCTCATCTGGAAGCAGGGACAGGACAGCGGCCGTGTGGGGATGTTGGGGCATCACTGCGGTGCTGCTGAGAAGTGACCGGCACCACCTCCAGCACTGGGGAGGTGCTCAGAGGGTGCCAGCCGCTGTGTTTCTCTAGGCAGCATGGGCCCGGGCAGCCACCAGAGTGGCCCAGTGGTGCCTGTGGCCGCCGAGCCACCTGGCAGCAGGCAGGTGGGCCCCAGACCACCCCCACCCGAGGGGACGGGTGCCTGGCCCCTGTCTTACCACCTCTTGATATACAGCGGGCATTAGGCTGCCCAATGGGGACACTGCATCCTTAGGAAGAAATATGTCCTCATTTTTCTTAAACACCGTTTCCACTGAGTGAAATGTTTAGAAGGGACGCGCAGGGAGAACTTTATTTCCTACCAGGGAGTTCAGAGCCACCAGGCAGAGCCCATAAAGCACGCGGAGCCTGGTAGCTGACAGGCCGCCCAGCCCCGAAACACATTACTCACGGGTGGGGAGGGGCTGCCAGGCCTGCCCAGCCCCCAGGGACTAACCCCCACCCCCATGGCGGGACAAGTGACTCCGAGACCTGGCTGTGGGTGGTGGGCACTGGAGCCTCTGGTCCCCATGAGCCCATGCTGGAGGGCAGGGGAGGACCTGGCCCTGAGCAGGCGAGGAGGTGGAGCCATTGCAGCCACCCCCTCGGTCCCCAGGGATCAGGAGCGAGGGGCCCAGGTGCAGCTACAGGAGCCCCCCTCTCCCCACCAGAACTGGCAGGAGCCCTGGCCTTCCCCAGCCTTTGGAGGGAGTGATGAGATTCCTGCCATAACGGGCCCTTCTCCCGAGGCCCTCCCTTCATTCGATTTCTGAAGCTGGCTGATTTGCATATTTATAAATATCAGTAAATTATTTATTGTAGCAATCTGCTGCACCATTTTACCCATCACAGTTAACACTTTAGGGGGCTCCGTGTTATGGGAACTGGGAGTGGGGGCGAGGAAGAGATGGACAGGGGTGGAAAGGAGCCCTTGCAGGGAGGCCTAAGACTTCCTAGAGCCAACCTGGATCCTTCATGGGGACATGGTGGTGGCCCTGCACCTTGCTGAGCCCCAGCCCTCGTGAGCTCGGCCTCTGGAGTGTCTTCTTGGCTCCAGAATCAGTTTCCTCCACTGTCAAATGGGACCATGACAGTACCTGCCTCACGGGGTCCTTGTGAGACATCGTGAGCTAGTGCCTGACGGGTGCATGGACAGCAGTTCTCGCCTCTTCCTTTCTCTACCCTGAGCAGGACCCGCTCGGCTTGGAGATGAGAGCTGCCTGCTGGGGCTTGTTGGGTTTGAAGCCCTCAGAGGGGAGGCTCAGGCTCTGGGAGCCAGAAAGGGACCATTTGCTGCTGAGCAGCCAACCTGTCCACAGTCCAGCCCTCCAGCCTCTCCTGTGCCCACTGCCTCTTCTGGACCGGGTGTGGTTCGTAGTCTTGGGGTCTCGTGCTTGGATGTGGCACCATGCTTGCCTGTTTGTCCCCTCCTAGGGCTCGGCTGCCTTTTGCCAGGTCGTTGCTTTTCAGGCCTTGTGCTTGGCACAGACAAGCAGCCTCTCACCTTACAGGCCTGCAGCCTTTTCGTGGGGAGGAAGCTCACCCCAGGGCCCGGGGCTAGCAAGGCCAGGCAGTGAACTCACGACTGTCTGACCCCAGAGATCGGACCATGCGTGGTGTTGTGCCACCTCCCAGGGCTCGCCCCGAGCCTGTCCAGCACCACCAGGGCCAGAGGCTGGAGACTGGGAGGGCCCGGGCTGCTCCCCTCCCCCCAGGCCCGGCTGGGCCCCCCACAGCTGCCCCGCCCCTCGCCTCCTCCGGTTCCTGGGCCGGTTCCTGGGTAAGCAGTAAGGGAGTCCCCTCTCCTTCCCAGCCTCCGGCCCAGGCCTGCCTCCTGGGCAGTATTGTTCCCAGAGGAAGTGTCCAGTGTAAATAGAGCAGCGGGCAGGCTGGTGGCGGGAAGGAGATGAAAGGGGCAGTGACAGGGCCGGGGACGGATGGCTTCCTCCCATTGAGGCCTGGCCACGGCGTTTATATTTTAGGGAAGAAAGTCAGGGGAATGTTTACATGGACAGGAGCCTGGGGTCAGACCACGAAGGGGGTAGTCTGCAGGTCCTAGGACCCTGATGGGGGCGGGAGGGAGAAAGGCCCCACCGTGAGGGCCGGAGGTGGGCGGGCAAGCAGGCAGCTTGAGCCTCATCTCTTACATACACCCCTCCTTGCAGCCCCAAAGTCACATGTGTTTGCACTTATGAGTAAGGCCTGCATTTGCCTCCTGCCCTGCACCCCAGGCCCACACGCCTTCTCACCTCCCCCCAGGACCAGCGGTAGAGTCAGAGGGAGGGCAACATCTGGAAGGCAGGTGGGCTGGGACAGAGCAGCAGCTGGAGGGCAGGTGTAGGGGGTGTAGGCGGAGCCAAGGGGCCTGCACACGGGAGGGGGTGGGCCCTGGGTGCACAGCTGCATCGCAGCTGGTGGGGGCCTGTGAGGGACTGAGCCAGGCACACAGCCGAGATCAGGAGAGGGTGGGCTGGGCTGGGTGGGCCCAAGTGCCAGGAGGCTCCAGGATGGGTGGGGGCCCAGGGAGGGGGTGTCACCAGCAGCAAGTGCAGCCCTGGGAGCTTCTGCTTCCCTCTTCCTTGGGATAAATATTTATAGATTCATTTGCCGTCTGCCATACACACTTGGCTGCTTACCTCCTGGTAAAAATAGAGCAGGCTCCCCCACTCCCACCCTTCCCTTCTACACCAGGGCAGGGGACAAAGAGGGCCAGGTGAGGCTTGCTCTCCATAGGCCTGCTGGAGGAAACCTGGTGTCACGGAGCCTGGCGGCTGGCCAGAGGTTGGTTGGGATAATGTGATTAGGGGCCCCATCGCTGAGCTTTGAGAAGGAACCCATGACAATGCTTGGAGATTTGGGTGTGGACAGCACAAACCTGGAGATGTGGACAAATGTGGGTAGAGTTGGCATCCAGCTATGGTGAGGGTGGAGCCGTCAGATCCAGGGTGGCAGGAATGGGAGAACTGGAGGGAATCGAGCAGACCCTTCTCTGGCACTGGGCTGGGATCACTGGACCCCTGTGGGCCAAGTGAGGCCATACAGGCTGTCACCTGGCTTCAAGGCAAGGATCTGGGGGCACTGGCATTGTCTGTATCGGGGGACAGCCATCTGTGTGTAGAAGCCAAGTCTGCTTGTGCATAGGTCCTGGCACAGGTGTGGCCACCCCAGCAAGCCTCTCAGTGGGTTCCAGGTGTGTGGGTTTTTAGGATCTTGACCATTATAGTGAAGCCGCTTCTGACTATGAATCTGAGACCATGACCTGCCCTCATTTAGCCTTTTGACCTCTGTGCAGACTTGGCCATGCCCACACTCTGTTGAGGGTCACACGAGAGAGCCCTGCTTCAGTGGGGCTCCCTGTGCACAAAGCGGATGTGGGCCAAGATTGTGTCTGCCGTGGCCCCCACCCCCGCCCCTGGTGCCACCGTAGGGCCTGGCACACAATAGGAGTTCACTAAATGAATGGGTGGACAGACAGATGGACGGACAGATACACAAATAAACAGGTGTACATGTGTCCACTTCTGTTGGCCTTTGTGGCAGGTCCCAGGCTGTATGGTGAGTAATCTTGACATTTGCCCCCAGGGCCCTGGGCGCCCCGCTTAGCAGTCGTGAGGGAGGTGGCTAGCGCTCAGGCAGCCAAGTTACAGTTTCCAGCTGTTTGTGTCGGGCTGTCATGTTCAGGGACTAGGCACCGTAACTACAGCTTCTGGACTTTTCATTGGGGAAGTGAGGAATCCCAACATGTTTTAGCTGCAGCTTCTCAGGGCTGGAAAGTGGGCTTCCTGGGACCAGCCTGGCCTTCCAGGCCTGCAGGAGCTGGCTGAGGCAGAGAAAACAGAGGGAGGTCCACAGCCAGAGACCAGTGGCCCTCAGAAGGGCAGTGAGGGACTCTGTCCTGGAACAGCCCTACCTGAGGCTTGGGGAGAAGGGGAAGCAACAGAATATGGCCAGAGGAGCCAAGAGAGGGTCTGTGAAGGGGCAGGAAGGACCCTAAGGAGGAAAAATGGACGCCTTTGCAGGGTCCTGGTGGCTGGAGAAGAGGAGCAGATCCTGGGGCTCTGCAGAGAGCAGAGGTTGGTGTTAGGTGGGGCCCAGGGACCAGGCAGGGCGGAGGGGCTGCTGGGGATGAGGTGCCCAGGTGGGGAGGGGTACCAGCCAAGTGCTACTGGCATGGTAAGCAAGAGATTGGCATGGGCTGCCCTGGCTCTTGGCTGTCTGCTCCCCGGCAGGCCGTGTGGTGGGCAGAAGCTCCCAGGTGGAGTCAGGCTGCTGTCACTTGCTAGCTTTGCCTCAAGACCAGCTCGTTAGTCTGTGTCCCTCAGTGTCTTCAAGTGTCACAGGGAACCCCACCCTCCTTTATCCAGGGCACGGCCAGCCTGCCTCTCCAGGGAGATACCTGGGGCCAAACAAGTATAGGAAATGCTTCCAGGAGCCAGGTGCTTGGGAAAAGACTGCCTCTGTGTTTGAAGAGTTATTCATTCATTCATTTGTTCGTTTACTAAGTATTTCTGAACCACCTAGTACATGCCAGGCTCTGGGGATGGAGCTCACAGTCTAGTGAGGGGACAAACAAGTGCCTGCCATCTTGGGGCAGCGTGGGGGAACCATGACTGGGGAGACCTCTGGCTTGGGGGATACCGGGCAGGGTCCTCTCTGCCCTGCTGCTGAGGTGAGTGGCTGTGCCTGGCACACATGCCTCTGACCCCTCTCCTTCATCCCTGCAGCTGAAGGCACCCGGTGCACCGACCCACCCACAGGCAAACCCGCAATGGCGGCCAAGCGCAAAGGCGGCCTGAAGCTCAATGCCATCTGCGCCAAGCTGAGCCGCCAGGTGGTGGTGGAGAAGGGAGCGGAGGCTGGCTCTCAAGCCGAGGGCAGCCCACTGAGGCCCCGGGACAAAGAGCGCAGTGGCCCCGAGCCGGGGGTGGCCCGGGCCCCCCGCAGTGAGGAAGACAAGAGGCGGGCGGTGATTGAGAAGTGGGTCAACGGGGAGTACAGTGAGGAGCCGGCACCCACGCCCGTGTTGGGGCGGATTGCCCGAGAGGGTCTGGAGCTGCCGCCCGAGGGTGTCTACATGGTGCAGCCACAGGGCTGCAGCGACGAGGAAGACCACGGCGAAGAGCCCTCCAAGGAAGGCGGCGGCATGGAGGAGAAGGACTCGGACGGGGCAGCCTCCAAGGATGACAGTGGCCCCAGTGCCAAGCAGGCTTCAGGTGGGTGTCTGAAGCCCCAGATGGAACACAACCCCGTGAGGAGGGAAGCCCAGCAAGGAAGGAGTGGTGTGTATCCACAGAGCATGCCCACTTCCCTCACTCTCGCTGCAAATAGTGACCCCTCATTCAGACCTAGTGAGGACTGAGGATGGGTGGGCTGGGGCCAAGGTCACGACTGGAATGGGAGAGATGACTTGGGCAAGGATAGGAGAAGGGCCTGAGAAGGCAGTTTCCCAAATGTGTGAGCAGGGTTGAGATGGGCTGCTGAACACACAGAGGGTCTTCAGGAAGCAGTGGATAGATGGATGGATGGGTAGGCAGGCAGATGGATGGATGGATGGATGGATGGATGGACGGACGGTGTACGGGTAGATTACTATCCACGCCCACCTGCACAGGAGGAGCCGTGGGTGATGCAGTCCCTGGACGGGTGGTAGTCAGCATCATGAACCGCACGAGCTTGCTGTCAGCAAAGGTGTTTTCTCCAAGAAGCTCTAGGATGAGACTGTTCTCCCACCCTCCTCTTGCCTTCTCCCCAAAGCCTTCTCCCCCCATCTTACCAGCCCACCTTCTCCTTGGCAGGGATCCTGGCTCTCCTAGGCAGGATTGCTCAGAGACGAGGCACAGAGCCACAGGGATGGCCCAGCTGGCGTATCTCGTTACACCCACTTGCCCTGGACGCAGTCCCCTGGCTGACCTCTTTCCCACGAGATGGCTAAGGCCAGGCTTTTCTGGTGTCTGCTTGTCCTTAGACCCAGAGCAGCCCTGAGCTCCTTCTGCTCCAGGGAGGGAGGGCCTAGGGTTCCATGTGGGAAGGGGTACTGCTAGGGCTGGAACTCTGGGTCTGGGGTCTTTTCTCAGTTTCCCAGCCTCCTTCTCAGCCTGTGCCTGGTGTCCTGAGCCTCCCCTGCCCGCTTCCCCGTCCCCTCTCCCTGCAGCGAGGGGCGCATCTCCTCCCTGCGCGGGGAGCCCTGCGCAGCCACATAATTATGCATATAAGATATAAACAGAGCTGTTTAATTATCCTTCGCCACATCAGTGACAGAGTAATTAACAAACATTGCAAGATCAATGAGGAAAAGTGTGACCTTCAGTTTCCTCTGATAGGAAAAGCCCTTGCCGTTCCCAGACACAAGGTGATTGCGCTGGGCCTGAGGAGAGGGGAGGGACAGGGACAGAGGCTGCTGTCCCTTCAGCGCCCTAGCCCCTCCCCGGGGAGCAGAGAGCTGGGGAAGCAGGGCTGGAACTGCCAGTGGCCTCATGGCCCCAGGCCTCACCCCTCTGGTTTGAGGCCCTATGGGACTGCAGTGTGACACCCAGGTTGGCCTGCTCGGCCCTGGGCACTAGAGATAGTCAGCCGAAGCCCTAGCCACCCAGCCTGGGCTTGGGAATGCAGGCCCCTGGGCTCCCCCCGGGACCCCTGCCCGGCCCCCTCCCTGCTCTAAGCTGCCTGCCCTTCAAAGCCTTCTGTTTCTCTGCCATATATAGCGAGGGCTCAGCTGCCTCCAGCTATTTTTAGCCCCTCTCCCTGGTCCCTGAGCCACTGAATCTAGCAGCCAGAGCCCACTCCTCCCAAGCTGGGTCCCCAACCCCTAGTAGCTTGAGGTCAGGACAGCTGCCCACCGGCCACCTCACCCAGGGGAACGGCTGTCTGTCGGTTGCTTTAATCGCTTTACCCACCGTGGGTGCCAGGTGCTGCTCGCCACTGTCCTCTCCTCACCTGGTGGGGTCCTGGTCCTCACAGGACTGCCGTCCTCCCTCCTCCCTCTCCTCGCAGGAGCTCGGAGACTTTTTTACATCCTGCTAGGTTTTCTCAGCCCCAGGCAGAATGGGGTCATCTTGCCCCGCCATCCTGAGGCTCATCTTGGGGAGCTGGGTATGGACTTTGGGGAGGTTTATGTACACATGTGTGTGCCTGTGGAGCTGGGAAGGTCACTAGGGATGTGAGGTTGAGTGTGTGTGCATGTGCGTGTGTCCCTGTAGGGAGGTTGCCCCAGGGATCTCTGTGTGTCCTGCCGTGGACAGTGGAGCAAGAGATGGGCCACACTCATAGCTGCTGCCTCTCCGGCCCTCACTCCCCTCGGGGTGGCCTACCCTTGTGCATGAACATGAATGACCAGAGGATGGCCAGGGAGGTTTGAAGCACCCTCCACATTGTTAGTCTTGGCTGGAGTAGGGGACCCTGAGGGAGTCTGAGCGAACACATCAGCAGGGTCCCTGTCCCCTCGACCCTGTTGTCTGGGACCTTCAGCAACCTGGGGGGCTGGGAGAGGGCCAAGAGGACAGGTCCTGAGAAGACTTGGGGTAAGCTCCTCGTCCTCCCAGGGATAAGTGACCTGTGTGTCCATTTGTAGGGGGCAAGGAGGACCCTCCATCAGGCTCAGCCAGGCCTACCCCGACCCATCCTCAGTGGCTCCTCTGGCCCCTGGGATCCCTCCTGACTGCCCAGCCATTGGCCCTCAGCCCTGCCTATCCCCAGCACCCATTCTCACCCTGACCCTCGGAGGCAGGTTAGGATCTGGCCTTACTTCCAGTAAAATGACTTCTCTTTCATATTAGGCCAAGGCGAGAGAGCGGAGACATTTATGAAACTTTGTTTAATGTACTGAAAAGCCATCGGCCAGAACATTTAGGAAATTGATTTTCCTGGCATTGATGAACTCGTTTTATTTTACCCCAGTATTAATTACTTTTTTTTTAAACAAATTAATTTAAGAGTCGTAAAACCTAACAAGTGAGCCAAATGTCCATAGATCATGTCCCGCTCCGCCCCTCCCCAGGCGGCTCCCTCCCTCTTTGTGGGGGTGGGGGTTCCTGTCCCTTGGCTACCCTGCTCCCTCCCCTGACTGCCCCTCTCCTCCCTGCTGTAGGAGAGGCCTCCTCGCTGCGGGACTATGCGGCCTCCACCGTGACTGAGTTCCTTGGCATGTTTGGCTACGATGACCAGAACACGAGGGACGAGCTGGCCAGGAAGATCAGCTTCGAGAAGCTGCACGCTGGCTCCACCCCAGAGGCGACCACCTCCTCCGCGCTGCCCGCCTCTGAGGACGCCCTCAGCAAACGGGCGAGGTTCTCCAAGTATGAAGAGTACATCCGCAAGCTCAAGGCCGGCGAGCAGCTGTCCTGGCCGGCCCACGGCGCCACGG